TGTAACCAAAATATCATCCCCTGCCTCCCCAAATACACAGACCCTTTTAGATCATTTCCACTGTGTACTGTCAAGCTCTGTGTGTAGTGGAGATAAACGCATTTGGGTGCAAATAAGAAGAAATTTCATCAATCATGATTTGTACAAATTGAGTTGGCTTTTTTCACTTGGAGCAAAGTCTGAATGTAGATAATCTGGAGATTTACACAGCAATTCAACTTTATCTTGGGGAACTTAGGTTCTTTCTCTTTCAACATTTTGACACAGTGCTTGCCTGTCATCATTACAAGTTGCTGCAGTTCCTGGTATTACGTCTGTGCTTAAAGCAAGAAGAAGAGGAGACAAGTGTGAATCCAATTACATCTACTCTTTAAAGAGGAAAACAAAAGTTTCACAACAACCACACTAGTATATGTCACATTAAATGTCATTGACCAGACCATGCGGCATGACTACCTAGAACTGCAATGGAGGGTAGAATTTACAGCCTCAGTGGTGAAGGTAATTAAGGAAGAACAAAAGATTGGGAATGGCTAAGTTAGCTAATCTGTAGTGTGGAACATATTGATTACAAAAACAAAGTTAAGAAAAAAAGATCTAGTGCCAGTTACAGATAAAACTGGTTGAATGGTTGAATTTTGCATCTGTTAATTTTCTTAATGAGTCATTGAATGATAAATACATTGTCAGAAAATACAATGTCCTGTAGAAGCCTGAATAACTAACTGAATGAATGGCCCAATGCAACCAGCATGTGCAAAAGATTTTCTGACACTCTACAAGGACAATTTTTACTATGTCAATTGCTTAATCCAGTGAAAGTTATCAGCATGCCTGAATATAAGCTTCATTATCAAGGTTAGCATGCTTTTAAGAATTTCATTTAACAATCAATAATTACACAATGACTATAAGCCAACCTTTGTATATAAAGGGAAACAAGGAAATTATAAATTTATAAAGGAAAATAAGACAAGATTTCTGTGCTTAAGGGATAAATTGCAATAGAAAAAAGATAAGCAAAGAGTTGCATAACACACTATATGGGTCACTTAGCTTTGCCTGGAGGAATCAGAAAAAAATTCATGAAGAGTTGTGTATGGCTTTTTTCATTGTGCATGAGGAAGGGGATGAAAGGAAAAGGAAGAACAGAAAGAGACAGATGGAGGCTTTCTTTCAGGCAAGGAACAGGCAGTTTGAAAAAGTCAGGAAGGATGTGAGTGCACATTGAGAAAGGCAAACACTTAAGCATGACTCTGTGGCAGCGCAAAAAGTCTGTATACATTGGAATGATACATACCTAAGTTCGATCCCAGTTCAAGTTCTTCCCTGTTCTGAGACCTACTTGAGTACCTGAGTGTGTCAGTTTCCTCATCTCTCAAGGCGTGATAAAATATCCCTTTACTTCCATTATGCAGAATTTGGAGGATGAAGGGCAGGAGTCTACACACAACAGTGTGGCTAACACAAAGACAGTACTGAGTGATCATCTCTGTGGTTGCTGTTATCATTGTTTTCAAGACCTGAATGTTGTACTTCAAGAGCAATGGGAGAAAAGGAAAGACAGATCAGCAAGTGTGGGTTATGAAGGATGCATAGCAAGGCATGGTAGGTTGCAAAATAGGACCACAAATCCTTTACACTCTGGTAGCCACACCCCTTTGCAATGTGATGCTGCTGTACCTTGCATCAGGAGGTGAAATCTATTTCTCCAGTATCTCCTATCTAGGTTGACCTTGCTACATGATTAAACCAACAGAATGTGATAGAGGTGACATTGAGCAATTTCTGAACTGAAATCTCAGAAAGAATTTCCAGATTCTGCTTTTGCTCTTTTTAATATGTATTTATCTTCAACTACTTGAAAGGCAGAGCAACACAGAGAGAGAAAGAGTGATATCTTTTATCTGCTGGTTTACTCCCTAAATGCCCACAAGAGCCAGGGCTGGCCCAGGCTGAAGCCAGGTGCTCGGAACTCCATCTGAGTTTCCCAAGTGGGTGGCAGGAGCCCAAGAACTAGAGCCATCATCTGCTGTCACAGGGTGCATTGCAGGAAGCTGGGTCAGAAAGGAGGAGACAGGACTCAAAGCAGCACTACCATCTGGGATGCAGGCCTCCCGAGCAGTGGCTTATACCACTTTGCCACACTGCCCACCTTTGCTTTACTCTGTTAGACTACAGCTGCCTTGAGAGTCCCTGCACCAAAGCACCAGTCAACTGTCATGTGAGGCCAACCAGTCTCTTGCTGAACTGCCACCCAACCACAAAACGCCTAAGTGCACCCAGCAAACAGTCCAAGGAGCAGGGACGAGCTGTCTCAGCAGATACCTTCCTCAATTACCAGACCCAGAGTCGTGAACAAATATAAGTCCATGGTGGCTGGTAACTAAAAGGTAAGCCCAAGGGGTCTTACTTCATCAAGGAGATAAGGAGACTCATTGAAAGGTTTTAAACAGAGTAATGATGTCTACAGATTTTTTATTTTAGTCATTTCATCCCAATGCCAGTACAGAGGATACACAACTAAAATGTTCCTAACAAGTAGAGAAGATAGGTTGTTAGAAGAAATAGGAAACTAAACTTGATAAGGACCTAGTATATAATAGATGTACCAAGGACAAAGCTACTTTTATGAGCAACCCCAGAAGGGCCCTGTACTTGGTTATATGTTTGCAGAGTTCTTGAAATTCCTAAAAATTTTTTGACAAGGAGCCCACGGTTTTAGTTTGCATTAAGCCCTGCAAACTGAGTTTTCAGGTTCTTTTTTAACCTGAAAACCTTTTATTTAAGGTATCCAAACGTCATGCATTTCATATATACAAATTTAGAAACATAGTAATTCTTACAACCTTACCCTCCCGCCCGCCTGCACTCCCACACTTGTGCCTGCTCCCTCTCCTGTTCCCATTCTTATTTTTTAACAAAGATCTATTTTCAGTTAACTTTTAAACTCATAAGATTAACCCTATACTAAGTAAAGAGTTCAACAAATAGTATGAAAAAACAAAAACAAAAACACTGTACCTCACCAGTCAAGACAAGGGCTATTCAAAATCATGGCATCTCAAAGTGTCAATTTCACTTCCATAAATTACCTTTTAGGTGCTCTATTAGTTACCACAGATGTATCTTCAGTTTTGAGATAGGAATTCACAGTAACTGAGCTTCAGGCCAGACATGCTTAGAGGTAAAATGAGTCTGACTCAATATTTTCTTGATTTTTGTCAACTTGGAATTGCACGGCAAAAGACCTTCAGGTTTGTGAATGCTTGGATCTCTAAGTAGCAATGGGCTTGTGATTACTCCGATGCTAAACTTTGAGAGAGTTCAACACAATAGAAACTCCAAGAATAAGAAAAGCATTTCCAGACTTCTTTCTGCAAAAGCTACCTGACTAGCCTTGAATGAGTCAAACTTCTCTCACTTCCTCATTCATGAAATAAGGTGATAATCCTGTCCCTGCACAGCTCACAGGGTGTGACAATTAAGCGGACATGTGAATGAAGCACTTTAAATTCCCCACAAAGGAATGCGTGCAACTGAACAGGAGGACTAAAAATAATTCTATTAGCTCCTCTGGAGCATCCTCAGCCTGGGCCCTCTGAGGTGCCCCCGACTTGTGTGCTGTTCAGAATATGCTCAGAACCAGAATGCCTGACATTTCTCCAAGAGACAAAGAGAAGACAGTAAACTGACAAATATGGTTGGATATATGTTAACATGTCCTAAACTCCTTTTTGGTTATTTACAGTCTCATTTTAAGTCTTCTGCATATCTCCATCCTTTGATCCAACCTTTATTTATTTATTTATTTGAAAGGTTGAGTGAAGGAGGGGGGATGAAAACTGTATGTATGTATGTGTGTGTGAGAAAGAGAGAGACAGAGATAGACAGAGACAGAGAGACAGAGAAAGAGAGAGATCTTCCATCCACTGGTTCACTTCCCAAATGGCTGCAATAGCCAAGGCTGGGCTACACGGAAGCCAGGCGCTAGGAACTACATCTGGTCTTGCACATACATGGCAGGAACCTAAGCATTTGGACCATCATCTGCTGCTTTCTGAAGATCAGTGATGAGTCAAGTAGTTGGGTTAATGCCTCCCACATGGGAGATATGGAGTGAGTTCTTGGTTCTCAGCTTAAGCCCAGCCCAGTCTTGGCCTCTGCAGGCATTTGGGGAATGAATAGGCAATTGGGAGTGCTTGCTTGTGCGTGCTCTCTCTCTCTTTCTCTTTCTGTCTGCCCCACCCTAATCTACTTGTCTCTTTCCATGTCTCTTTGTCAAATAATAATAGGAAAATGGAATCAATATGGAGTAGTGACTTTTCAAGCTTGGAAATATGTCTAAAATTTTAAAATAACACCGATAATGCCAAGTACACATAGACATCATTTTTAAACCACTAGACTGCATTTATTTCCTAAAATGCCATTCTGTGTTCATTGTATATTTCTTCATGATTTGATGCTGACTTGCTGCATGACTTTGTCAATTCACCCAAATGTCAACAAAAGTTTAGAGTGCCTTAAATCTTCTGAGTTTGGATTTCTTCTAAAAGCAGAAAAATAAAATTTAGAAATAAATAACACATACAATTGCTTTAAGATAAAAATTCTAACAGATTTATCTTATACTTGTGTAAGTGTCAAAAATTTCAACCCATCTTCTCTGGGAGATTAGATCCATATACCAGTGATGTCACCATTTAAAAAATAGATTTATTTTATTTATTTGAAAGGCAGAATTGGAGAGAGAAGGAGACACAGAGAGATACTCCATCCACTGGTTCACTCTCCCAAATGGCTGTAATGGCCAGGACTGAGCTAGGCTGAAGCCAGGAACCAGGAGCTTCTTCCTAATCTCCCACGTGGGTGCAGGGGCCCAAGCACTTGGGCCATCTTCTGCTGTTATTAGCAGGAAGCTGAATTGGAAGTGGAGCAACTAGCTGGGACTTGAACCAGACTCCAGTGGATGCCAGTGTCATAGGCAGTAACTTTACCTGTTACTCCACAAGACCAGCCCCCAGTGATATTCCCATTTTTCAGAGTGATTTGAGATCTTCATGGAACAGGAGGAAGCTTCTATTCTGGATAAGAAATTCCTTTGGAGATAGGAAAATCAGAATTTTCATTACAATACATTCTCTCTCTTCCTTTATCTCTATATTTCCCTCTCCCTTTTCCTCTCTCTCCTTCAGATTCTTTACAAGCCAGGTTTGGCTACACTGGCTCTGCCTAGCATACAGACCCACAAGGAGGTTCCCATGATGAGGTTATGTGAAATTGTAACTATACAAACATAATATAAAGTGCCTTCTTTGAGGATGAACTTGATTTTGTATCTGAGCCAAAAATTTACAAAGTATTTCAGCTTATTAAGATGGATATCTTTTGTTACAAGTGAGTACTGACTTTTGAGACTGATTTTTTTTCTTTCAGTTTGTGTACAGATGCCAAAGGTAAGTCAATGAAATAACTTTTTAAAAAGCGAAATGGGGGCCGGTGCTGTGGCATAGCAGGTAAAGCCGTCGCGTGCAGTACCGGCATCCCATTTGGGCGCCAGTTTGTGTCCCGGCTGCTCCTATTCCAAGCCAGCTCTCTGCTATGGCCTGGGAAAGCAGTGGAAGATGGCCCAAGTGCTTGGGACCCTACACCCCCTCGGGAGACCCAGAACAAGATCCTAGCTCCTGGCTTCAGATCAGCACAGCTCCTGTAGTTGCAGCCATTTGGGGAGTGAACCAGCAGATGGAAGACCTCTCTCTCTCTGCCTCTGCCTCTCTGTAACTCTATCTTTCAAATAAATAAATAAATCTTTTTAAAAAATATATAAATGATGTAGAGTAGTGTTACAACCTTAAAAAAAAAGAATTGAACTGCTCCAAGAAAGCCCAATGATACCTTTGTACAGACTTTACCATTTAATAAGTGCTTTGTACAGGCCATTTCACTTGAGCCTAATAACACTGTGAGCTATATTTTAATTTTATTCTCAGTTTACAGATGAGGAAATTGAGGATTATCTGTAAAGTGATACCAGGCCAGTTGTTAACCTTCTTGAGCCTTAAATTATCCACAGGGCAGGGTTTCAGTTCTACAAATCCCGAATCTGAAGTCCTCCCATGCTCGTGCACATATTTAGACTACTAGACATCTTCATTTCACTGATGAATGTACTGAAGCTATGTCAAGCTTGTCTGGATGTCTGGAGCAGTCCGAACAGCCGTGTTTTCTCGCCCCCTCAGGATGCCAGTGATCTGGGTTCATGCCATGTTTAAACTCATGTTCTTTGTGTCTGTGTCTTAGCAAGGGGCTATTTCCCACCCTGAAGTTTCATCTGATGGCCATTTGGCATACTGAAGAATGGACCCTTTGTGGGGGGAGAGGGGTCTATGAGATGGCCAGAAATAGAGGCTGAACTTGCTAGTTCTCAACGTCTTCCTTCAATTGTACTAAGGTCTGGCTCTGAAATGAGGCACCTGTTCATGCTTGCATTGCATGCTAAATAGTCACAGAGACAGGGTTCCTCATAGACTCCTAGGCCCCAGCTGGAATTCATTGTCTCTGATTTGCTAGCTGCACCTATAAACTCTGTCTTCCTTTCCACTCTTATTCTCTTCCTCCTTTTGTCACACACTCTAAGTGTCCACAGATGTCAAGTGTAGAAAAAGACATCTGGTGTTAATGCTTTAGTGCTGGCACCAAGGTACTTCCTGAAGAAGATAGGGCCCCTTGCTGAGTTGTTTTGCAGGCTGCCCATCTGTATTTATCACTACCTAGTGTTGACTCTCGATTCAAATGGCTTGACAACTTTTGAGCTGGCATGATGCCACCCAGGATATCAGTCAACGGGCCATCTAGCCATATCAAGTGTGGCTGCTAAGGGCAGGAATCCTGGCCAGGAATTTCTAAACTGCTGTCTGTGAAGAGGGTCCATGGATTTTGGCTGGGGAAAACTTCCAAAAATAAAAGCTAGATACCCATGCCATTTGTTTGGACTTTGTAGAAGAGTTATTAGTCATTAAGGAAGGGAGAGGGTGGTGGAGAAGACGGCATGAAATTAACTCTAATTAATCACTTTGACAAGCAGAAGGAAAATTGAGCCCAGTCTTCTGAGAACAATTGATATAACTCTAGGAAATGACCAAAAAAAGTACTTAGTCTTTAGTCTTACCAATCTATATTTATTTCTTAAGAAATTAGAGCTCAGACAAAAATAAGAGCTTGGAAAGTAAATAATGAAGTAATCTTTGGAGTATTGGAGTGTGTGCATACTTTGTTAGAATTTATATACAAGAGGGTCAAAATGAAGTCATTTGCTTCCATCTTTGTGATTATTCCACATAATGTTTACTGATGTAGAGCTTAGTGGAGAAGCAAATCATTGATCTTTAAGTCAGTGCTATGAGTGGCTTTGAGAGTTGTGAGGTCTTTCACTGGAAGTTGAGGGAAGGTGGGATATCTTTTTTTTAAATAAAGAACATGGATTTTTTAATCAAACAAAACTGGAGTTCATCCCTACTTTCCCATTGAATAGTTATTTTTCTTTTCTATGTTCTTTCATCTAAAAAAGAACCAATAGTAATCTAACTTCATAGGATTATTATGAAGAATAATTAAGTAATTAAAGACGTTTCTGGCATTAATAAGGTCGTAAGAAGTACTAATGAATAACAACTTGATCCACTATCTACATGATTCACCAAGGCTAGAATTTTTTGTGCTTGACTAGTCTTAGTGTTCTTATGGATTTTTATACCTGTTTTTCTTTTCCTTTTCCAGTGGTGTGTTGAAGTCAGCTCATGTTGGCTCACAGGAGTTAATTGTTACATTATAGGAATTTTGAGATCTAGCTGTTAAATATAATCTATTAAAAATGAAAAAGAACATATCATTTGTTGTATTTAAAACAAAATTTATAAATACTCATCACTTCCTAAGCATTTATTTATTTTGAATATAGAGTAATAGAAACAGAGGGATGGCAGGAGGGGGAGAGAGTGAGAGCGACAGTAGGGGAGAGGGAGAGTGAGAGCAAGAGAGAGATCTTCCATCTGCTGGTTCATTTCCCAAAAGGCCACAATGGCTGGGCTGGGACTGGACCAGGCTCAAGCCAGGAGCCAAGAACTTCACTCTGGGTAGGTGGCAGAGGCCCAAGTACTTGAACCATCATCTGCTGCCTTCCCAGAAGCCTAGTAACCAGGACTCAAACCAGCAACCTGATACGGAATGTGGGCCTCAGAAGTGGTGGCTTAACTTGTTGTACCAAATGCCGCCCCCTTCTTTAATTGTTTCGGTGCTATCTGTGCTCTTGAAGTGAGTTATGTCCTTTTTTTTTTTTTTTATGTGTTTTTAATGTCTTTTTGTATGGCAAAAATTCTGTAAAATCCATGTGCTAGTGTGCATCCATTTCCAACTTGGGTCAAAGACATCCCTCTAGTGGCTTCTATAAGACATTACCTTGCAGAAGTTGGTAAGTGCTGCAGCTTCAAGACTCCTTTCCAAAGAGCCAATTATTAAACACTTATCAGCATATAACTGTCTCTGACTATCTACATAAGCAAACTGGTTTGTACAAACCAATTAACAATGATTTCAATGGGTACCCTGAAATTTAGTTGTTTTTAAAATTAGATATTTATTACATACCATCAGAATTGAATGACTCACTGTTGTCTTACAGCAGGTCTGTTTAATTTATTTATATTAAGAAAGTTCTATGGCATTTGGGATGCTCTCAGTGAGACCATCTACAAATCCTTAAAGCCAATTTTTTCCTCCGAGCCCAACACTAACTATACCTGCTTTTCACATACAGACTTTTAGTAAATATTTGTTGAAAGAACAGATTTGTTACAGGTATGATTTTATCTTTATTAATTCCACAAATAACAAAATTGGGTTTCTTAAAAGACAAAATTACATCAGGCTGGCATTGTGGCACAGTGAGCTAAGCTGCTGTCTGCTACGCTGGCATCCTATATCAAAGCACCTGTTCAAGTCCCAGCTGCTCCACTCTGATCCAGCTTCTTGCTAATACACCTAATACACCTGGGGAAGCAGCTGAGGACACCCAAAGTACTTGGGACCCTGACACCCATGTGGGAGACCCAGGTGGAGCTCTGGGCTCCTGTGTTTGCCCTGGTCTAGACCCAGGAGTTGCAGCCATTTGAGGAGTGAATCCACAGATGGAAGCTCTCTCTTTCTCCTCCCACCCCGCCTCTCTATCACTTCCAAATAAATAAATGAATCTTGTTTTGTAAAATAAAAAATTAATTATAAAAAGTTAGTTTAAAGGTTTAATTGGTTTTCATTTGCAGTTCAAGAATTGGGCAGCCCATGGAACCAGGACAAGTTCAGAGTTCAAGTGATGCATTGTGGTCTGAAAGTATTTATGGAAAGGAAATAGAAATGAGAAGGACAATGTATGGGAGGTACAGAGACAGCTGATTGGTTATAGGTCAGTTTATCCATATTTGAATGTAGTTTGAACCATACGTCATTGAATCTCAGGTGCTGGATTGGCTGAGACTCTATTTGCCATTACAAAGTCAAACTTTCAGTTGGTTTATGTACAAAGTAGGATGCAGTTTGCTATGTAAGGGCTCACATTGAGAGGCAGTATCAGGCCAAATTTAGCTCAATTTAATAGTTTCAGTTTATGGGAGCCCAGATAAAAATTATTCTAATAAGTTACATATGATATGCAGAACCCTCCTTTTATGAATAAATCAAATGCACTACATTTTAAATATAATTCAAAGATATATTAAACAGTAAACTTTTCTTTCTTTTCTTTTCTTTTTTTTTTTTTTTTTTGACATGCAGAGTGAGAGACAGAAATAAAGGTCTTCCTTCCGTTGGTTCACCCCCCAAATGGCTGCTGCGGCCGGCATGCTGCGCCAATCCTAAGCCAGGAGCCAGGTGCTTCCTCCTGGTCTCCCATGCGGGTGCAGGGCCCAAGCACTTGGGCCATCCTCCACTGCACTCCCGGGCCACAGCAGAGAGCTGGAAACAGTAAACTTTTCATTTTCAGTGAAAATAAAATTTTATAAAACATTTCACCTAATAAGTTTTTAAATGGTACTTATTTAGCAAATATTTTGATTCTTATTGATTATTTAAGTACTGAAAGTTCACTTGTTCTTGATCTGGAAGGAATTATTAAAACGCCTACATTATTATTGTTTGTTTCCAACTATATGGAGATATAGAATTTTTTTTCTTACTGTTTATTTAAAGGTAGAGCAACAAACAGAGAGAGAGAGAGAGAGAGAGAGAGCAAGCTTTGATCTGCAGGTTCATTCCCCAAATGCCTGCAACAGCCAGGGCTGGGCCAGTCCCAAGCCAGGAGGCAGGAACTCCACAGGAGGAGGCAGGAACCCGGGTATTGAGCTATCACCTGCTGTCTCCCAGGCTGTGCATCAGGAGAAGGCTGGAACAGAAGTGGAGGCAGAGCTCTTCTCACGCACTCCAACATGGGATGCTGGCGTTGCAAGTGGTGGCTTAACCCACTGTGCCACAATGTTTGCCCCCTGCATATGTGCTTTTAAACAAAAGTGTTAATATGTAGCTGTGTATCTTTGTTTTTAAAATAAAGAATTTTTCAACCCAGTGCTTGTCACAAGTTGGCAAAGAAGCGTAATTCACACCCTGGCAATGAAGTGTTGTGGTGGGAAGAGAATGGATTTACATTGGGAAAAACTGCTGCTCTGTTGTGACTATGGTGCAACAATTACAGCTAGTATAAATAAATCTAGCATAACATGAGTAGTCCATGACACAGATCAGAATCTCCACCCTAAAATAATGCCAATTTAGCATAGGATTGTGTTGAGCTGAAGGCAAGCAAGGATCAACAGATAGAGGAAGAGTTCTGTATTCTCCACTAATCTGTCTAAAAACCGCAAAAATTTCCCTTGAGAAAGGCACCTTCTTTGTACCAGGAATAGAGGAGCAACTCTGTTCATCTAAAACTGGGGTGTTAATGCCAAGATGAGTTTGCTTAAGCCATCTTTACTAAAATAATCCTTATCTTCCATTCCTTACCCTGTATCTTTCCCAGCCATTTCCCCATATTCTATCATCTCCTGAAGCCCAAACTCCATTTATTTTATTAAAATGCTATATAACCCCTGAGTCTAACCATTTCTTTTCGACCCACTATAACGTATGCAAAATCAAAACTATGTCTCTTTCCTCTTGACAATTTGTCTTTTGTTAGTTTAATCTAAATATCTAGGTCTCCAAATGCTGAACATGTCAGTGGAGAAAATGGTTTTCCTTCATAACACTAAAATGCCATAGTTGTGAGGACTATATTAGCTTAAGATTTAAAAAAAATAAAATAATAAGAAGAATTTATAGAGCCAGCGCTGTGGCATAGAGGGGTGTGGCCGCCATCTGCAGTGCCAGCATCCAATATGGGTGCTGGTTCAAGTCACAGCTGCTCCACTTCTGATCCAGCTCCCTGTTGATGGCCTGGGAAAGCAGAGAAAAATGGCCCAAGTCCTTGGGCCCCTGTACCCGTGTGGGAGATTGGGAAGAAGCTCCTGGCTCCTGGCTTTAGCCCCTGCACCACATGGGAGACCTGGAAGAAGCTTCTGGCTCCTGGCTTTGGATCGGCACAGCTCCAGCTATTGCAGCCAATTGGGGAGTGAATCAGTGGATGGAAGACCTTTCTCTCTCTGTAACTCTGACTTTCAAATAAAATAAATAAATCTTTTAAAAGAAAAGAATTTACTTTGGTATCCATTAATATTTACATTTGGAAATACATTAATGTTTACATTTGGAAAGAGTGCTGCTCATCATTTAAGGGTTGTGACCATGAAGAGGCAAGTACAGTTAGCTATCCATAAACACAGATAGCTAAGGAAGAGATCAGGATACCTCAAAATATGAATTTGGGAACATGGCTTATTCCGAGCTGAAAGTAAGTAAGAAATTAAACTTAAGCTGATTGAGTAACTCCAGATAAATTGGTTATCAAAAAGCCTCCATATATGCAAAGGAAAAAATCCATAAGATCAAAATTCTTTGGAGTTGTTCACTTCCTCAGTTTTTTCTAAATAAAAACCATTCCCCCATCCAATGATCTGATATTCTACAACTCTTTTTCTCTTCATCAGCTGCCCACAGCCAAAATAAGCAAAGACAAAACAAGTTCTGGACTTCATCCTCCAGACTTCTCCAGACTTCTCTGTTTGATGTTCAAAGTCCTTCAAAAGTCCCCCAGGACCTTGTTTTTCCTTATTTGTTTTTCTTATTCAGTCCGGCCAAGCCAGGTTCTTGGTATCCTTTGACTCAGCAACACTCCTGACTTCTGCTTATCTTTACCCCAAATTTCCTCATTTCCACTTTTCTGCAAGTGAATTTGAAGATCGTCTTTACTGTTACAATTGTTCTTTTTTGAGGACATCTTGGTGGTCTTATATTATCATGTCTTACTCTTGATTTCCCCAACCTTTGAATTTCTTTTTTTTTTTTTTAATTTTAATTTTTTTTTGACAGGCAGAGTGGACAGTGAGAGAGAGCAACAGAGAGAAAGGTCTTCCTTTGCCGTTGGTTCACCCTCCAATGGCCGCTGCGGCCAGTGCACTGCGGCTGGCGCACCACGCTGATCCAATGGCAGGAGCCAGGTACTTATCCTGGTCTCCCATGGGGTGCAGGGCCCAAGTACCTGGGCCATCCTCCACTGCACTCCCAGGCCACAGCAGAGAGCTGGCCTGGAAGAGGAGCAACCGGGACAGAATCCGGCGCCCTGACCGGGACTAGAACCTGGTGTGCCGGTGCCGCAAGGCGGAGGATTAGCCTAGTGAGCCGCAGCACTGGCCGCAACCTTTGAATTTCTAAGCTTCTTATTCA